CCAGAAGAGCAATCGAGTGCATACAGTAAACGGGTGTTTTGTAAGTTCCCTATAGTTACCTTTCTGGTCACAGGCTGTCCCTTCCCAGCCCACAGTACACACACAGAAACCGCTGTCACACACACCATTGACGCAGGCACCACAGGAACCTGTATGAACCGGAGTGATATTGGCGTTAGTATTGTCACTTGTATTATAATTCAAAACATATCTAAATTTATATAAAAACACTATCTGTGTGTGTCACAGTTTCATACATATTTAGAAACGTGATTCTGTCAAAAGCATTTTAGAAACAAAGTGGAAAAAAGTGGAAAAAATATCTAAAAAGACCTTAAAGGTACATACGAACCGAGCATCGGTGGAGCGCGGATTCCCAGTAACACATGTAAACCACTTCTACTTCTGCCAAGGGATAAACTGAATAAATCACCCGATCAACCATAAAAGAGCTTTAGAGTGCTCCTTTCTTTAAATTTTTGGCTGTCAATTTAACCTACTTTCGTGACCTACTTTTCTGCCCCATTGACATACAGCATAGAATGCTAGCAGAAAAATCTGTTCAAACATCACTTTCGGGTAAAATTAAACAATGCCTTTTGGTAATTCTCTTAGTTATACTACCTGAAACTATATGCTGGCATTTGGTTGGTTTTTATGACAGAAAATTGACTTTGTATGTATCTTTAAATATCTTATTGCTAAGATATATGTCAAATCTACATGAGGCACAAAATGGCCCCAAATTGTTTCTATAATGTCGAAAATGGGTTATTTTTTCCTAATTTAGTCAGGTTTGATAATCTACACGTTTTTTTGGTAAAAAAGTGATGGAAATATGAAACATTATATTTTGATACCTAATTTGCATAATTTATGCGTATGGATATTTTTTTTTCTTTTGGCCCAAGGATCATTCATGCCAAGTTAGACTATAAAATGCAGCGTTTGACCCCTAAACAAGCCTACTATGTAGGACGTTGTCCAGGGTGACATATTACCTACCTATAGAGCAGTCAGTTCCAGTCCAGCCGTCGTTACATTGACAAGTTCTGTTCACACACCTCCCTTTACCATTACACTGACCAGGACAACCTGGCAATAACGTTATATTATGAGGCTACAGACACAGATGTGGTTGTATATGCATGCAGGTTTGCTTGTTATTGTATATTTCTAGCAAAGGATATTAATTCAGCAGTTAAAATAACACAAAATAACACGGATATTTATAAATAAGTCAATAAAGAATGGTAACGCATGCGCACAAAGACTTTTATTTACGATTTTTAATATCCTTTAATATCCTCAGTTTTATCAATCAGTTATTATATCTGATTGTGCCACTGTGTATTTATAGTTATATATCTCATATTTATTATTCCAACTCTCTACGTGCTTACAGACTGTTTAAGCAGTAATAATAATAATGGTCTGATGTGGTGTGAATCTGCGCATGTACAAAGTATGTTAACGTTTTGATACGGTATATTTATTAATTTTTATTTAATTCAGGCAGATAAGGCAAGGAGTGGTGTTAGAGACTCTATATATATTAATACTCACCTAGTTCATATGTTTCTTGGTTGGAGAAAGTGATATCTTTCGTGACCACGATGTCATAGACACACTCCTGCAGTAAAACGCCCTCCAGTCCTTTTCCCTGACATACCGTCTCTGCAGCCTGAATATTGGGGTAATGACGGTATAACATTATATAGGTTTCAAATGTTAATGTCACTTACTCGGGCTCATCTTAACACCTTACCGTCTATGCTACTACTTTTTGATAATCCAATGATATGGAATTAACACATGTACCTGTTTTCCTTGAAGGTACTGGGGTATTTGGAAATAATTTCAAGAGTTTTCTAAAACTATGCAGTAATGTTAAGCACAAGTAAAGCATATGCAACAATATGTGTTGGAGACAACATCACTTGATCAGATCATAAAAGTCTTCTTGAAACAGCCCGTTTTCATATTAAGTATCTATTCAGATTGTTTATCATGCATTTACAGAATAATTCTGTATTGATATACCATGGTGACATTGCGTATTTGTGATGGACACAGTCAGTTTGACCGCAATGGCTAAGCATTATATACAGGTAAGAGGTCACTGACCTTCATCTCAGCCTGTGACACGTTCACGGGACCGTAGACCGGATTGTATAGACTAGGGTCGGTGTAGGAGGGGTCCATGACGTCATCAGCGTGAAAGTTTGAACTGTCCCAGGACCAACTGCCGTTTAATCCAGAACCAGAAAACGAAGTACTAATTCTCCCTGTGGTGACAACGACAAATGTTAAAAATGTTTTAAAGGGAAAATTCTTACAATTAAAAATTCTTACAATTAGGACTGTTTTTATCACCGCTTTCTAAATTTGTTAAAGAATATTACATATTAATTACATGCCTATAAACAGTCTACAAAGCACATGGTGTTTCATCGCCATACTCCGAATTTCAAGGCAAGGCAAGAATAAATATGTAATGAAGCTAATAAAGTATATTGATCATACTCTCTTTTAGTTGCATTATTTTTTCCTTATGACTCACATGACTCGGCAAATTCCACTGCCTTGTCCTTGGTGACCACGGTGCCATTGGCCATGGTGAAATCGTTGTCCTGGTTGTCGTCCATCAGTCCGCACAGTCCAGACGTCTGCCCCTTAAAACTGGCAGTTAGACCAGAACGTACGTTAAGGAAGAGACGCCCCATCACCGGACTGTACCGGACGTCTACTGTGACAGATACACCTAAGGGGAAATAAAGCGTTGACACAATCAGTGCCAATCACCACAGGCGTGAGGAAAGGAACGGGGGGAACTATTCAGATAATGGAAAAATTAATGGGACTTTCTTTGTACTTCTTTTGTATTGGGCATCGCTCGACTGGTATCTTAGTCTACGACATTAATTATATACTAAAGATACAATTACAATATAAGCACACAATCTGGCTTAAAGAAGTTTACAGAGTCACTAAAACCATTCGTTCTGCCCCTAGGACTTCCATGGTTGAAATACGTAGCTAATCCCTCCTATCCCCCCCTTCCCAGCTCCTGCGGCTCTGTCGCTCTTTATACAGCGGAACGCATACCAGTTATCAACTCACAGCCTATATCACATCCTATGACAATAGTGTATGAGCAAATTCTCTTCAAATTACACGCCTTAGGGTGAAAGAACATAATTAAAACAGTATACATACCGGTGTCATACTGGATTGCAATCATCATCACGGCACCAGTGGCATTGTTCCTGACCTTAGCAATATCTACAATGACGGTGTCGTTGTTAAGCGTCAATCTTGTGTTGTTTTTGGTTATGTTCTGGACTAGTCCGTCAATTCTGAGTGAAAAAGAATTGTTATCTAAACGTACGTATATGTGTTTTATATGCCAGATATTACCGAGCGTTACATGGCACATGTATAGTAGTAAGACGGTTTCTTTTCTATATTATCGTGAGGTACATGGCACGTGTAGTAAGACGTCTACAATAATGATCATTTTAATGATATCTTTAAAATATTAAAACAATACATCCATTCGTTTCATTGACCATGTGATTGATAAAACAAGCGCAACCATCATGCTGTTTCTTTCCGGATTTTAATGTCATATTATTCAAAGGCAATGTTACTAGTACACCACGTTCCCAATTCACCTTAAAGTAGGAAGAGTGGTTTCAGTAGCATTGGCCGGTGTAGTAATGGTGGCCACACTGTGACCGACCTTGACCGCGGCGGCACCGACCAGTGACGCTTGTTTATAGCCGAAGAACCTGACTTGTACGCCAAAGTCGTTAGCTGTACTCATACAGTCCCAGAACTCCCCGATACCATGGTAGTCGTAGGATATACCTTAGGAAACAATGAATTCATACAGTAAGTTATACCATTACTTTAGCAAACATGGTGCACAACGGTTATTTCATTTCAGCGATTACTTTCCTTTGTTTTTCGAGACGCTATGAATTAATCAGGAAATAAACATCCACGCACACTAAACCGCCGAAGAATTGTATAGAAAAATTATATTAATACACTAAAATATACACGTATGTTACACATGTGATTCAAAGAACCGCAGTATATTATGCCTTTCCATTTTGACATGTCTCAAGATAAAGTGATTTAAATTCGATGAGCAATTTTGACGATGTTCACCCACCATCTGCTGTCTGTAAGTGAGGATCACCTCCCATGTTTCTTGGTATTCTGACATTACAACAGACGCCTGTCCAGAATTGGGCACACACACACATGGAGCTACAGAGGTACGATTGAGGGGTGCAAACACCATTGCCGAAACATTCTGAAATACAGAAGGGGTGTTTGTAATGTAAAGGTTATATCTGATTGTATGAATTCAGTGGCTAGTTTATAGAACATTTAGCAGACATAAGACACAAACAAATAATGAAGTATAAATAATGATAAATAATTTGAAGGAAAACATTTGTAGAAAAATAACAAATTGAAAATAAATGTCTATTTTGCTATGTAAATTAGGCTTCGTTCACATGCAATGTCTATTTTCTAAATTCTATTTTCTATTTGCGGTATGTCTTATGATCACGGTCTGTGGCCTGAATATCCCGCGGCGTAATTACTGGCAGCGCGAGCCAGTTACTATAAGTTACTATAATTAACTGGCTCGCGCTGCCAGTAATTACGCGGCGGGATATTCAGGGCACAGACCGTGATCATAAAATAGCGCAAATAGAAAATAGAAATTAGAAAATAGACATTGCATGTAAACGAAGCCTTAAAGCCAGCCTTTGGTGCATTTACACTTAAATTTGGGGCGATTCACCTTGCAACCCGTTGTCTGTCTGAAAACTGCATGGCTCACAGTCCGGCTGGTCACACTGCTCTCCACGTCGTCCTCGTACACAGGCAGGGTACAGTCCACACTGGGTCTTCTCACGACAAACACAGTGACAGTCTTCCCACAGGGGCTCGTAGGCAGAGTCACACACCGGGCAGCTGTAGAAGCGAAAACACGGTATTCAAATCAGATAAATTCAGTAGTTCCGAAACTTATAACACCCAAATGCATATAGTTCCCTCATTACAAGCATGTTCGATAAATTACAGAATATAACAGGTGTCCACGTTTATCAATATAAGTATATAACTGTCTGTGCTTCTACGTGGGGTGCAATAAACTCACATATCATTCGGACAGTAACACGTTCCGTCACTAGCTATAACCGAGTTCTGGCAGTTTTTACATTCACATGAACAATGACAGCCACCATCAGGTTTAACGGTACCATAACCGCCATTTGGACATTCACAGCCACACTAGAAATATACACATTGATATAATGGACAGAAATATAAGAACAGTAAAATATGGTTTCAAGGTCGATGTCAAAAGCATTAAGACAGTTAAAGTTGTACACAATACGGCCATTCCACGAAAAGGGGTACAATTCCAAAACAAGAAATGCAGTGATATGAACTTTGCAAAACTAGAAAACTTTTTATATTATTTTGATGAAGAGGTATTCAGAGAGTAGTAGAAGAATTTTAACCCACACCATTACTGTATTTAAAGAAATATACACGTGTAAACATGGTCCAGTATTTTTTTCGTTACGGAGGTTAGGTAACATCTAAATTAGGTTATATTTCAATCATGCCAAAGGTCACAGACTCCATATTTGATTCAATTATTAAGATTTTGTATGTATTCAAAATATTATTGCCCATTTAAGATTTCTCTTCAATTATAGAAAATGCGGTGCAAACACATTGATAATAAGTGGCTCGTTTTTTATAAATACAAAGCCTGAGATATTCCAATTTAAATATTTTATTAATCATTGGGGACAGACTTGCTTTTTTATCATACTATTTGTTTATGAACAAAGTGCTATCAATCTATTATGATATGAGCATTGATCAATGAGCACACACATATCCAATGTTCAAATGAAAAATGAGTAATTTCGTAACGGAGGTTAGGTCATTAATAGCGATCATATTTGTTTTGATATTTCTTAGCTTAAAGTAGACTTTAGAGGCTGAATTCGGAATTTGTAGTATTACAGATACGACAAACGTTACATAATAACATAGAAAAATTGATAAAACATGTTTATTCAAACCAATAAATGGCAAATTGTTACAACAGGTTGTTTTGCTTTCTTTCATGGACTACATAAATACATTTACCGCTACTGGATACATTTTACCGCTGTTGATCGCTGTATCTGTAGAATTCACATTCCATATTTTACCAGATTAAGAGTTTAATTTATAATCTTAGTAACAGAGGTTAGGTAAAACTCTATAGTCTAAATTATGTTATGGATTTAAACCGTTCAAAATCTTTCACAAGAAAAGCTTCGCGGTCATTAGATTTTTTTTCTTTCTCTGTAGTGTTTTTGTAGCTCTGTATTTGTAAGTGGCATATTGGTGGTGTATAACAAAACATTAAACCTTCATGTACATGATCGCAGCTATAGGCAATAAAAAACAACACAATACCCGAGAAAGTTAATGTATACAATCAAGTAGGCCGACAATGGACACGTGTTTGCGGATAATTGTCCATTTAAAGTTACTGGAAGCATCTAGAAGATGTTAAAAACTATTATGTGCTACTGAAACAGTAAAATAGGGCCTAATAACCCCGCAGTTCTACCTGATAAATACAAGCGTTGCTTCAATGCTTAATATATTTCGCCATATGTCTCCCGCGAAAATAATGTCTGCTACATGTACGCTAGTATTGATGTCAGGTATTATTCAGAATTGTACCCTTTTTCGTGGAATGGCTGAATAAATTCACTAAAATATTTACGTTTTGCCTTGGTTGCATTATTTTGAAACATAAAACGATAACAATGATGTCTGACTTTCACTGCGCATCGAAATAATTCGATTCAACCATAATATTAACAAATTCTTTACTTTAAACCTTCATGAAAATTTACATAAATACAGAATTTTTATGTTATGAATATGTACACGTGCTGTACCTCACACGTGCCGTCTGCGTTCATCTCCCGTGGCCAACCGTCCGCACAGTGACATGGACACGCAGGCTGAGAAGGGTCATCAGTGACCACCTTTTTAGTTCTACCATCCGGGCACTTGTCACACTGGCAACTATGATTATACTGTCAATCATAACCAAATATTAACAACAGATTCAATATCATAATATGACTTTCATATTTATATTTCAAAAATTTGCCATCGACTTAAATTTGTAAATGTTTTCTTTGGTTGCTTTCGGCCATGAAGTTTTGACGTTGAAAGACTAATTTTATGTCGAGATTGGACATAAAAACGTATGAAGCAAGAGAAAATGTCCTGCAACACATAAACTTATTATTACAAGGATTGTTAAGACATTAAAACACAAATGACACAAATCACCTTAATACTACTGCTTCCATCAGGACATAGGCAGGTACCGGGTCCAACAGGACACGTGCTGGCTACGGTAGCTGGCCTACAGTGCCTGCAATGTCCATCGGTTAAAATGTATTTATTTATTAATGATCACCATTCTATAGTAGTATAGAGTGCCATGCATTAAATGAATATATCTAAACGTATAATAAAGATACACTGTAAGTTCTAATATCATGACTGCAATGAATTGATAAGATGATGTTCTTGGTTAACATTTCTATAACTGTATGGTAATACACCTTGATATTGAAACACTTAATTGTTGGCGCTTGAACTGAAATACGTAATACATCAGATATGAAGATGTCAAACAACGGTTCACACACTTACTCAGAAGCTTTTACAGAATCAGGAACAAGCACATATTCTTCAAGGCTTCTGAAAATCGAATATGCCTCTTCTAAACGAAGAAACCCAGCGTCTTTTCTGTACCCCGGCCCCGCTTTGTGGACCACAAGGTGCACGCCCTCACGCCCGGAACAGATCTTAGAACACGTGATAATGTCCAAACTGTCCGTGATAGGGGCTGTAGTCGTGTATGTGACAGTCTCAGAATGGCTGACAACACCGGGGTCTGAAACGACAATGACATGTTTCCTGCACTCCAACCCCAAATAAGCTCCGTGTATTACATTCACACACTCATGTTCGTGCATGCACACCACCTACATGTGTCTTCTACTATACTGTGATAGTCTAATAAAGCAGCCATCGCTTAAGAGTCCCTAAAATGCGTACAGTCGTTTCTGAAAGAATAATGCTAACGAATTTTTTAAAATACTGCACACCAGTTCCAGCAGCAAATTTATAAAGCAACGTAAACAAATGTGCCAAGGCATAGGTGTTCGGTCGTGCTACATGTGTACATACACGTAGGTTCTGCTGGTGTTCTATGCCCTGTTTTCTGATGTCTTCATGATCATCATGCAGTCCCACCATGTGCACGTCGAAGCATCTGCGTTACAGACATCAATATTACCAGGGGACATAAAGTGATATGCAGAACCATGTGACAGCCGTATTGGAACACTAGGACTCTGGAGTAGGACTTACCTATCAAATTCTCTAGAAAACGGAGAACTAGCGAAGGGTTGACGAGGTCGTAAACTATGGTATCCGAGGCACTGGGAAACTGCACGTGCAATGCTGGTTCTATGTCAACGTTTATATGAACATTGCCCATGTCATCTGTGTGATCTACGTCATGTGTCACGTCAGTCGCCTGGAAAAAACAGATGCTTCAATTCAATCTGTTCCCACTAAAAACGCCATTACGTTGTTTATCAGAATCAACTCATCAGGTTGTTTGTGTTCAATAGCAACAGTCATTTCCAGAAGACAGTTTAATATCTGAAAGCCATAATCGCAACTATATTCAGAATTAAATTGGAATTTATTGTCCTTTAAATATGTACTCTTAACATATTTTTGTTTGATACCCTGTATTAATGTATACTGCTATAAATGATTTAATAAACAAAGTACATAAAAACCGCTTAAATATTGGACGGACTTCTTAGAACAATGAAAATACCAAGGGTACAGTGGTTGAACGGAATAGACAAATAATGTGAGTAGAGCTTTCACTACGAACATCAATAATAGAACCACACATCGGCACCTTACAGCAAAAGTGGGTGCCTTTGGATAGCCTGGTAGCAGCTAATGATGCGGGGGGGGATTCTTTCTTTTTCACAAAGATAATTTCACATTGTCTTTTTCGCTAAGAACAAATTCTGGTTGAAATGCAATAAACCGAAAGTATCAAATAAGTTGCAAATAATTTAATAATAAAAATAATGCCCAGCGAACTGAAACTTACAGCAGCTCTGTGAAAATGCTCCCCACCGGCTCCATATCTCCAAGTTGCACCGAGAGTTTGCCGGACTCGTCCTCGGGAATGATGTCGCAATACGCCAGTGCCCTGAAATTTGGGCGAGTTCCATGATTAAAAAACACACACACATACACATAGGCAGCTGGGGATTGCAGGAACAACAGAACACAATGGCTTCACCGTGGGTGGTCGTGTATTACAAGTGTGTTATAAACTGTGAACATAGGGCGAAGGACGCCCACCCCCTCTCAAACAGGCGACTTCAACAGACCACCGGTACAGTTAAACCGTTTTTGGTCGGTGTGCTTCCCACTTACCTGGGATGTTGCCGTAAAACTGTACTTCATGTTGAGGAGAGCGATATTAAGAGGCAAGCAGACGTCTTGTGAGATAGCCAAGCAGTGCACGCCAAGAGATGTACGTTTAGATACAAGATAATGATCTTCGTTGACTTCGGTGTATCTGAAGTTTAAAAGTTTAAAACAGCATACAGATTATCTAAGAGTAGTTAGGCGTGTACCGTATGTTGCAATTGTAAAATGGCCAAATTGTGATATTTCCTTAATGGGCAGCCATTGCTTGTAGCAAGTACGTATTCCTTGCTTGTAGTAATAACAATTATGGTTGGAAACAATGAAATTAAAAAACAACAAGCCATGACTTTTATTCAACAATCTACAACTTGTGCGTTAAGAATGTAAATCACTGGACCATTCACACCTGACCAATGCCTCATAACTGTTGTTCATATTGTAGTCAATGGTTGCATCCAGTCGGATCCCTATCTTCTGTGCTTTGGGAACAGTGGACTGTAGATGGAGCTGCAGTCCTGCTGTCACCACTATATTCATGTCAACTGACAGCTGCTTTCTTAACGCTGAGGTTGTCTATATACAAAGGTAAATGTTAGTCTTATACACTGCGATATACTTAAGGGGGAAAGGACTTGTTCAAAGCGAAGGGGGTGGAGTGCATGCAAAGCAAGGGGGGAGTGGAGTACCGAGTGCATTCATGTATTCCAGAATATGTGTTTCGTGTATATAAGTACTAAGTAAGTAACCTTAATAAAACACATTATATAATTAAATTCATTGTATTATTAGGTCGCCGCAACGGTAGCTTAAGTATCTACCAATATGTTTTCCATATCATTATTCAGTTTAACGACAAGCTACAATATATGTAATATCCACTGTATTCAATACTCGTAGGAACAAAATTTAAGTTGACACCGCAGGTACATGTAATTACCTCAAACACCGCCTCCTTTTTCAGTGATGTAAATATGCCATCAGTGGATATTTGGTTGTTCAGTCGTCTGTCGGGGTGGAAGGCAGTGTAGGGAGCAGACGTCAGCACTGTGTCTTTGTTTAAGTCCTGGATGGGGATACACTCCAGGAAAATGTAGCCCCCTTTCTCAAACCTTGAAATAACCTGAACAGAAATATATCTCTCTCATGAAGCCCAGATTGGTTACGGTATGCTAAACATGCACCTACATCTTCATATTTTATTCTATAAAAGTCATACAGAAAATGTGGAACAATTATGCATTATATAGTTTTAATGTTATATGCTCAATATCAAAATCGGTTCATCTTGCCTTGTTACGCAATGCTATATTCTACATGTATATGCTGCCGAGTCAAATGGTGATATGATATACCAGGCAAGTATAGTTTACCTGACCGAGAAAGGCGCCAGATGTACGTCCTGGAATGACGTCGCCTACGACTGGTGGCGCCGTCTCTTGATTCACTGACTCACTAATGTGCAGGCTTCTGTCATTCTGTTCTCCGCCGTGACAGTACATAGTGTTAGATGTGGAGACAGGAGAGACAGCAATTAAACTAGAAAACACATCGAGTACGCCACATGTCATGCGCTTTTCTACATAAAAATGCTAAGTATCAATTATATGCATGTACGAACACATTAAAAATGTACAGTGTACTTTCCTTTGGCATTCTAAAATGAATACTTCTATACGTACCACTGTCGACCAATTATTAGCAAAAAAAAAAAAAAAAAATTGCCGTGTCACTATTCATAACAAAGCCTCAGAATATTCCAAGGAGACGGAGAAAATTAGTTGTCGTTTCCAAATAGATTATTTATTGTTCGACCGGTGTAACGAAACTAAGTGTCTGTGTAACAGAAAGTCCGCCGTCCATATAGTTTTAATGGTTAGGGTTAGCCTGACCTAAGTGGGCCAAAATCTAGGGCGAGGCTCACCTGTACAAATGAATGGGAAGCGGTCTCTCTGTTATGGGGGACTCTCTGTCACGTTCGACAGGGACCGGAAATTTAATATGACGTACTACACATACTATAATGTATGTCACGTTTTGAAGTAACTAAGATGTAAAACGGCACGTTGTATTCATCGTATACAAATACCACTAACCTAAAAGACATAGCCTGACTACACGTCTTCACTTTGGCGTGATACGTCACAGCCTCAGATTCTGTTACAACATCCTCTATGTCCTCGAGGAAGCCCTGACTTTCCCTGCCGACGACGACATCGCCAACGCCAATGTGTTTTGACATACTCTGTCGTAGCACAATGTACTGAGACGCCACAGGTCTTATGGTCACATTGTACCAATGTCCAAGACATTTAAAAACATGATCATCTAAAATGAGAAATGAACTATTTTTATCAGCTGACACTGGTTCACATATTTATCAAATGAATACGTACGCTACTTCCTGTAGTGTAGGGTAAATACTTTATACTAGCAAAGTTGCACTCAGTTTTTCAACCGTTTATATTTATTGTTTATTATTATTATTATTATTTGGGGAACAATTTAAAATCAGAACTTCACGAGATTCACCTTTTACCAAGTGAACTAAGGAACCTCTAATGGCTGCTCCTTCCCACGCAGAGGCAATTTTAAAAATGCGTTTTTCCGGCATGTGCTCAAGCGTCCTGTCATCCATGAGGGAACGGACAGGAACTGTTTGGTTAAAGTTGGCATACTGGATGACATCTTCCAACGAGGCCCTTACAGCGACAAAATATCGGTATGTTCCTGAACAAAACGATTGCCATAACTGATAAAAACATAATACTACGATGTACACGATGTATCATGCAAATGCTATAAGCCTATTAAAATACTTTTAAGGGGGAGGATTAAATTAAAATCTCGCTTTAATAAAATATACCACTTTGTCCTAAAATACACGTTTATATTTTATGTCGATTATTGGTTAAACGTCATGGATATGAAACTTTTATAGGACGTACTTTAGTAATATTTTCAGGTTATGGATTATGCTATATTAATGTGCTAGAAATATCACTACTTCAACTGACATAACGTCATAAGCATGATGATCTTTGGTTGAAAATAGTGTTACATGCAGTATAATAAACTCACCTTTTTCTTGAGTTGCGTACACTTTATGCATGATTTCTCCAGCTTGCTTGCTGACAATGACAAAATCTCTGGACCTGGGATACTTGACCTTGTCTCTGGTCACAAGAATGGAGTGACCTATCAAGAATTATTCAGATAAATGCAAACAAAAATCAGCATGCGTTTTAAATTTTTATTCAATTGCGTGTGGAAATAAATATTGAAGCCTTACTTAAATAGGACTACCATGATCACTGTAATAACTGTATCTTTATGGTGAACTACGGGTTAACCTTTGGTACAGCAATAGTAAAAGGCATCAAACACTTTGTTAATTATTTATTCAAGTTATCGTTCCCCTGATATGAAATATTTGTTACATTTTTTCACAAATATTGCAGTAACACGACGGTATGTTCAACAAAATATACTTACAGACTTGCAAACTTTTGATAGAACACATAAAAGGAGGCATATTATGAAAAACCTCGTATTCCACTTTGCATCATATTTCAAAAATTCATAAACATTACAGATGTCATACATGGATGCTCACCTCTTTGTTTCGTGTTTAATATAGGGCACACATAAAACTCTCTGTCAGGCTTAATGACCTTCACGTTTGCAGGGTCGTATCCAGGGCTTGGTTGCCATGGTTATAGACCGGTCGCACTAGGCCATTTGGGCATTTCCTCATGTCCCATTGACGGCAGCTATATGAGATCTAACCGGTGTAATATGCAAGAAAACATATTTCCTAAGGTAATTTGTAGAATAATTAGACACGATGGATGGTATTTGTTCAGTTATTAAATATGAAAAAAAAA